CAACTCTCTGATGCATAACAGGTGATTGCGAAGACTATGGCCTGTATCAGATGCACCTTAGTCTCCAGAGAATCAGCTATGAGTTGGTTCTGACTCGATGGCATATAACAACAAAAACAAATCCAAAGAGGGATTAAAAGATTAATATCCTCAAATATATATATTGTTATATGCCATTGAGTCGCTTGCAACTTATAGCAACCCTACATACAACAAGCCCTAAACCCTGCTAGATACTGTGCCAATCTTACTGTCTCCAACATGCCTATCCCCATTACTCCAGTGACAGAATCAATCCATATCATCGAGGGTCTTCCTCTCCTGCACTGTCGCTCCACTCTCCCAAGAGTGATATCCGTCTCCAAGAACTGACCCCACCTTACAACATGTCCAAAGTATGTCAGACTGTCAGACAGAGAAGAAGCGATGTCATTCTGGAGACTAAGGGGCACCTGATTCAGACCATGGTCTTTGCAATTTCTTGCTATGCATCAGAGAGGTGGACAATGACTAGGGATGACAGAAGGAGAGTTGATGCCTTTGAGCTGTGGTGCTGGAGAAGAGTATTGAATATACCATGGACTGCTAGACAAGTTCGTCCTGGAGAGAGTGAAGCCAAGCTGCTCCTTGGAGGCAAGGATTCTGAAGCTTCATCTGTCAAATGTATATGTGTATAAATGTACATAAAAGGTAGGAAATCAGTGATTTAAGAATGCATATAAATTTTTTAAAAGAATTTTAATTGTGATTTTAATGAAAGTTTACAGAAAAGTTGGATTTTCATTCATTCGTTGCACATTTTCCTTCCTCCCCCTTCCTCAGCTCACTTCCTTTTTTTTTTTTAAAAAAAAAACAACTAATTAATTGGTGCACAATATTCTTCCTTCCTCCAGTGCTCTTTGCAATGTACCTCTTATTCTGGACCATTGTCTTACACATAAGGGAGCTCTGGTGACCTAGTGGCAAGAAGCTATGTTGCCATCCCAAAATCATGCGGGTCCAAAGGCACTGGCTGCTCTGTGGGAAAAGGATGGGCAATCTCCTCCCATGTGATTAACTGCCTCTGAAAAACTGGAGGGCCAGCTATGGGTCAGTTACAACTCCATGGCACATAACAATCATATATTACTTTTAAACAGTTCTATTCCTCAACTGTTCCAATACAGTTTTCATTATCTATCCACTCTTTTCCTATTCTCTTCTCAACTCCCGACGTCAGTCCTGCTTCATAACATTGGTGTTATGCAGTATTTGTCCTTTTGAGACTGCGACATTTCACTCAACATAATGTCCCCCAGGGTCACCCATGTTGTGTAATACTTTACAAGTTCATTATCTTCCAATGCTGCATAGTATTCCACTGTGTGAATATACCATTGTTTTTCTAACCATTCATTTGTTTCTGTCTCTTTACTATTGTGAGTAATGCAGCAATAAACATGGTTTTTTTATATATATATAACAAATTATATAAATTATAACAAATGCTGGTGAGTCTGGGAAGAGACTGCAACTCTTATTTACTGCTCCTGGGAGTAGAAAATGGTTCAACCACTATGGAAGGCAGTTTAGTGCTCTCTCAAAAAGTTAGAAATAGATATACCATTTGACCCAGCAGTTGCACTGCTGGGAATATACACTAAATAAGATATAGAAAAAGTCTTTTTTAAAAAAGAGAAATGTGGGTGAAATGCATACAGTGTGATTAAATAGTGACACCAAGAAGCAAAGAAATAGAAAAATGCTAGTGACTATGATAAATATAATTTGTAACACCAACCATAACCAAAACAGGAGCATAAAGTCACATATAGGTGAACAGTCATCTGTGTCTATAGCTAACTACAGGTGGCTACATATATGTATACATTTGGGTATTAATACACACATGTAGTTACAGATATGTGTGTGTATACATATATATTCTTAGAGGGCACAGTTAAAGACAGATCATTTTCAGGCATCTTTACCTTGTAAGAATGATTTTTTTCTGGTTTAAGACCTTATTCTCATGGGATAACTCCGTCAAATGACATTGTAAAGCTCATGCTCTGTGTCCTAGGAGGTGAATGGCATTTGTGGTCATAAAAGCTTACAAGCAGTCTCCTAAAATACAACTGTCGATCTCTACATATTTAGAGTAAAAGAGAAAGAAAGCAAAAAAGTCTCAGAGTACAAACTAAACCCACTCCTCACTTACCAACATGGTTAGGTTCCAAAGACTAAGGCGTTAGGTGAATATGAAGGAATTTCTCCCGACTTTCAGATCTTTCATTTACTGATGTGTTTGTTTTTTCATTTGCAGGTATGATCAGGTAAGATTTACTAATATGCTCATTACTGTTATTCTAGTTATAAATTACTTCTCTATGAAGGAAACTTGGGGGAGCTTCCACCTTTAGGTTTTTTCCACCAAATTATTAAAAAATTTCTCCTATTAGTTCTTTAGATACTGTTCTGAGCTGGTTCATAACTTTTTAAATTGTCATTTTCTTTATGTTAAACATTGATATTATCCTATAGTTCACTGAAGTGCATCTTGCTTTATTTTTTTATCTATTAGCTGCTTTCTCCTTCACACTTCAGAATGGTAGTTTTTATTTGTGCCACCCATACCTTTCACTTCACTTCACTCTACTCCCACAGTGTGTAATTTGCCGTTAATCCCATCCAGCGAATTTTTCACTGTAGACATTCTACTTTTCAGGTCTAAAATATTCCCTGAACTCTACCCCTGACAAATTGACATTTTTCTGTTGAGGAATTCTAATTATTCTGTTATTATGATACTTTCATTCTCCTTTAAGAATATATTTATGACATCTCCTTTAGTTTTTGCTTGCTAATTCTATTATGATATTTTAAGGTCTGTACTAATTTTCACGCTTCTTTGTATGTAAAATAATTTTCTATTGCATGTGTGACTTTATAGTTGGCATGCATTTGAATGTCTGGGGCTTGTAGTTTTTCTAAACTGAGTGTTGAATTTTGTTCTGGTAGGCAACTAATTTACTTATGAATCAACTTAATCTGTTAAATGGAGAGTCTGCTGCTTAATATTAATCTCTTTTCTTTTCAAACTCAATTTATATTAGAAACAGCTTCCAAAATAATATTAAATAGCAAGCATTCTTGAGCCAGCCCTCCCCACCTTATTTTTAAAATTTCTTTGACTGGATATAGAATAGCTTTTGTTGTTGTTGTTGTTGTTGTTTACTGCCATCTAGTAGAGCATGATTCATAGTAACCCTATCAACAAAGAATGGCTTTTACTACAAGGATATATCAGTCTTTTCTCTAAAGCATAGACCTTCTAGGATATCTTCTGAGAGTTTAATGAGGGCTCTTAACCCTGAGGGAGCTGGAGTAGTTGCTTAGCACACAACTCCCAGCAGTTCTTTTCTAGAACTGGGGATGGATGTGTCTTACCTACTTTTCAAGTTCTTTACTGTGCCAGGGCTGATCACAGTCACTCTATCTCACTGTAAATGCTGGAAAGGTTTCGATCATTTTCCTGCTTCCCGTAGTTCTCCTTCTTTTGGCCCACTGATGCTGCCTTTTTTCACTCTCAAGAACACATTTTTATTCCGTGGAAGGACCCATAAAGAAAACTTAATACTCTTAATTCAATCCAATCTTCTTTCTTAACATATAATACAATTCAATTTGTCTCCTGGGTTTAAAACAATAATATAAACTACTTTTAAGTTGATCACTACTTAGTATATCCCTTCATTTACCACTCTTGTGGTTATGCTCTCCATTGCTCATTTTCAAAACATTTAAGAATAGGTTTACTGATAAAGTAGAAAACCCCCCACAATCCTTGTCAAGAAAATCCATTTGGTTAAAAGCTGTTCATAAACCAGTGTTCCTGATAGCACAGTTAAACTAATAAGCCATACAATATACATAATTTATCCATAATTTATATGATTGAGTGTTATGGTTAGCACAAGAATCCAGAATTAAGGTTCCATAGAGAAGTGTACTCGGGGTGGGGGGTGGGGGGGGAAGGGATGGGGGAATGGTATACTAATGAAGGAAATTTTTTTTCTTTTTCTTTTCAGAGAGGGGAGCGAACTGATGGGGAGGGGTGGACAGGGAGAAAAGTGTGGCAATGAATAAATGGAAAGCCAAAACCTCTGTAAAAGTCTCTAAAAATTAATAAAAAGAGAAAAAAAACAAAAAAACCCCTAATAAGCCATAAAGTGTGTTCAAAGAAGGCAAGAAGACTACCAACAACCTACTTCTTCCATATTTCTGGGTTCTTTTTCTTTATCTCTTACCTGAGACTAAGATAACTTACTGTTTGTTGCCTCTTGTGAGCTATTTTAGTTGCTGTTCAGAAAGTGGGTCTAAGTTTTGCATATTCTCCTTCTAACATAAGAGCCTTTATGTTGACAAGATCTACTCCTAGAATGGAACGTTCACCACTCTGTCCACCAAATATCAATTAATCCATGTTTATAAAGCATTAGTCAGTTTAAAAATAATTTATGTGTGGTTTTATTACCTTTTAAGGAGAGGAGAGAAAAGCAAAGGGAATAGAAATGAAACTGGTTCACAGCAAAGTACATTGAGATTGTGACAGGAGGTGAAAGGATCCAGTCCCATATGAAGAGGCGGAGCCTTATCCTCTTACCTGTGCAGCTGGATATATTCTCGAGGTCTGTTCAGCAGGTGAAGGAATCTGTCAACAATCTTGTTTTTTCCTACACCCTGTAAGTACATACATAGCATTAAATCAAAAGAGGTTTATAGGAGGAGGCAAATTTAATCTCAAGACAGAAAGGTAAGTATAATACTAAACTTTTCCTTTAACTAACCATTATCTTTTTCTCCTTTTATGCTACTTTCTGGTCATTTAAAATTCTGGAAACCTAAAAGCATAACCAAATGTCCACTGTTGGTGTTCATTCTAGAAATACTGTCATTTATTTCCTCACCACCTTCGTATATTGACAGGGTTGTGTCTTTCATTGACAGCAGACTATTAGAAATAGAATCCATCCCTGGGTTACTTCCAATTTTTAAGTTTCTCCATAGAGGTGGAATATAATTAATAGGCATAACAAGTCCATTGTTTTAGAAAAGTGAAATTGGTTAATAAGCTCAGCCTCTATCTTGCATGAGAGTAATAATAACTAGCAACTGGTTTCATCTCCTTGGTACCAGCAGTCAGGAAATCAGGAAAAGTCTTCAGTTTGAGACCTTGCCAAGATATTGAGAAGTAATGTAGAGGAAGTAGAACAGTGTAACTGAAGTGATTACTGACCACTTAAAGAATAAGGCAACTGGATCACAAAACAGACTCCAGTAGGCAAAGACAATCTACTGTGCATCCCTGAACTGGAGAGAAACAAAATGAAACCATGGTTTAAAGACTATCAACATGGAAACCAAAGCAAGATATATTGACAAAAGGAGAGGGTGGTATTCAGGAAATTGCTGCTATTCATTCAATATATAAATACATACTTAGTGAATGCTGGCACATGTCAGGAGAGACAATATGTAGAAGACAACATTTCTGTTCTCATGCAGCTTTCATTCCAGAGGTGGGGACACAGAAATGAAAAAGTGAGTTAGAGAAGTAGACTACTAAGGAGAGAACTGCTTAGCTCACTTCCTAATTGGAATAAGCTTGGGATTTCTAAGAAACAGCCAATGTGGATCATCTATTGTGGGTGAAAGGAGAGTATAAGAAATGAAGTCAGGGAAGTAGGCAGGTTAAAGTTAAGTGGAGCTTTGTAAACCAAAATGAAGAAGAAGTGGGATTTAATCCCAACTGTGATGGTGGTTGTTGTTGTGTATCATCAAATAGGAATTGACCCACAGCTGATCCTCTAGTGTGTTTCAGAGGCTATAAGTCAACTGCATGGGAGGAAATTGCCCATATTTCTCCAGCACATCATGTGGTGGGTTTGAACCGTGTACCTTTGCAGTGCAATTCCTTACCACCGCGCCACCAGAGCTCCCTAATTCTGATGGGGAGCCTTCTAACAAGAAGTAAATGGAATTAATAGTAAATAGTAATCTAGTAGAGAATGGATTGTAAAAATGGAGGCTGAAAAAGGAATCAAGATGTGGTGGTGAATGGCATTGTTGTTGCTGTGTACCGTCAAGTCAGCACTGACCCATAACTGACCCTCTGGTGGGTTTCCTGAGGCAGTTAACCACATAGGAGGAGACTGTCGAGCCTTCTCCCACAGAGCAGCTTGTGGATTTGAACCAGGTGCCTTCGGGGTCGCACTGCAGCTTCTTACCATCAGAACTTCCTCAAACAACATTTTAGATCCTTCCATTCACAGGACTCATCTGTTTGGTTTCTGTAGTGGTGATGGTTGACATTATTGAGGTATAATAATGGAAAAGGATGGGTTCAAGATTTTTAAAACTAAGCATAACAACGTGGCTGATGGACTGAATATAGAGGTTGACGGAAAAGAAGGGTAAAAGTATCTTCTAGATGTTTCCTTGAGGAAAAAAATTGGAAAGACAAATTTTACAAAGAAAACTAAGAGCTCTCCTGACTTTTATCCAAATCACTGATAAGTACTTAACATTCTGTCAGTGTAAAGTATTTATGCATTTTCATTCTCCTTCCAATAAAAGTGCAAGTTCCACGGAAAGAGTGTTTTAGTCACGGGGTCTTCGCAGTGCCTGTAAGAGTGCACAGTGAGGCCGTAAGTTTCAATAAGAGACATCAGCAGCTCCCACCCTCTCTATCCCTCATAGTCAATCTACAGCAAATTATTATCAGAAGAATGTCTATTTGTGCTTTATTGATTATGCAAAGGTATTTGTGGATTATACAAATTATGGTTAACACTGAGAAGAGTGGGGATTCCAGAAATCCAACTTGTGTTCCATTCCTAGACCAAGAGGCTATTGTGCTAACAGAGCAAGGGAAAACTATATGGCATAAAATAAGGAAAGGTGCATGTGAGTGTTGTACCCTTTTTCATACTTATATAATCTAAATGCTTAGTAAATTATTTGAGAAGCTTGACTCTGTGCAGAAGAATGTGACATCAGGATTGGAGGAAGACTCATCAATAATCTTCATTAATCAGATGACAAAACCTTGCTTGCTGAAAATAAAGAGGACTTGAAGCATTTGTTGAAGAAGTTTAAATACTACAGCCTTCAATATAGATTGCATGTCAATGTCAAGAAAACAAAATTCTTACCACTAGACCTGTAGGCAATATTATGATAGTTGTTGTTGCTGTAGTTATGTGCCGTCGAGTCGCTTGCGACTCATACCGACCCTATGTACAACAGCCCTAAACTCTGCTCTGTCGTGTGCCAATCGCACTGTCTCTGACACTCCCATCCCGAT